TGTGGTGAACTGAGGTGAAGTGGACTGTGGTGAAGTGGACTGTGGTGGTTTACCTCATGAAGCAGGAGGGACAGGAACTCGATGAGCTGGTGAGACGACAGCGCCTTCACGTCGGACTCTTTAAAGCTGCTCAGGTCCTGGTCTTTAGCCTGAAGGAGGGCAGAAGACGGATGTTTAACTCTGAACACAGAAAGAAAAACACAGGTCCACGTGGGGTCCAGGTCTTACCTTGACCCACTTCTGTTTCAGAGCGATGCAGGCGTCAGCCAGCGTGGTGTCGTACCTGAACACAACGAATACAACGACATCAGAACAAAAAGGGGACCAGGTTTTAAAGACTGGAGTACCTGGTGGAGGTCTGACTGGGTCCACTCACTGAGGTTTGACTGGAGGCATCCCAGGAGTGAACATCCAGGCGTTCCAGTCCACCTTGTTCAGGACATCCACCTGAGAAAGACAAGGACGCGGATCAGAGTCCTCATACAAACCAGGACTGTAGAAGTTGTGATCTGGATCCAGAGGTGTCTCACTCTGTCTCTGAAGTAGGTGAACAAGTGCTTCTTCCACTCGTCTGTGGTGACGCTGCCGTAAGCGAACATCTGGATGTAGGACTTCACGAAACCCATGAACACCTCTGAAGGCCCAAACAAACCCGACAGGTGAGTGAAAAACAAGCTTCAGGAGCCGACACGTGTCCAGGTGTGTGCAGGTGTTACCTGGCCCCCCCATCAGCTCCTCCAGGTGGTACAGCAGAGCGAAGCCTTTCTCGTAGGGCACCGAGGAGAAGGCGTCGTCCGGGTCCACGTCCTGCAGGCTGGGGACCAGGTTCGTCAGCACGTTGTTGGCTCCGAAGGTGTTCACCTGAGTGACGATGCAGACGGGTAAGAAGCATCACTCAAAAACACTCGCACCCCGAGACCACGTTCAGGTCCTCACCGAGTCCTCCAGGTCCTTCCAGCCCCCCATGGCTTTGAACTGTCTGAACTGTTCGCTGACCAGAGACCTGCCGATCATCCTCTCCAGGTAAACCGTGTGACCCTCGTTCAGCCTGCAGGTCAAGTGATTAATGATGAGACATTAATAATCAAACAACAATCTAGAATCCTTGAAAGACCATCAGCAGGTTTGTTTCTTTACATTTAATTGAATAAAAAACGATTTGAATCTATAAAGGAACATTTATGAAGTTATTTTCTTTTCTTCTGAAGTCTGATTGTTGTGTTTACCAGAAGTGCTCCCAGGTCCTGTTGGTCACCAGATTCCCGGTCCAGCTGTGTGAGATCTCATGAGCGATCACCTGACAGGAAGTAACAACAACACGTGACCACGTGAGCAGAGATGAACATGAGGCGAACAGGTGAGCAGAGGTTTCATACTCACATTGGACAGAGATTTGTCTCCTGCCTGTGAAGAGACGGACAGTGATCAGCTGATTAACAGTCACATGATGCCGGTCAGGTATAATAACCATTGTTAGGGTTCTGTGTGTGTGTGTGTGTGTGTGTGTGTGTACCAGCAGGGTGGGCGTAGCGAAGGTCAGACAGGGGTTCTCCATGCCTCCGTAAGGGAAGGACGGAGGAAGAACCAGGATGTCGTACTGACCCCAAACATACGGTCCTGCCAGGTCCTCAGCTGTCTTCAACATGGTCTCTGTCTGACACGGGAACATGAAACCATTAGTGTCAGTGCAGGTATGAATGAATGTACGATAGCGTGACTCTCACAGTCACAGTACAGCGCGACTCACAGTCACAGTACAGCGCGACTCACAGACACAGTACAGCGCGACTCACAGAC